AGTTACTCAGTAACTCAGTTACTTTTTGGGAGAAGTAACTAGTAACTATAACTAATTACTTTTTAAAAGTAACGTGCCCAACACTGACAGTAAGTCCTCCTAGATCAGTGTTTTGGGCAATTTTTCGTACCATGATTTCCCCTCTCAGTAAAAAGTATTGATGATTATCCAAAAGTGGAACATACAATACCTTAAATAAAGACTATTTTACTTAATCTTTTAATTTGAGCATTTCATTTTTATAAATGCCTTCCATCTCGAATGAAAAAAACAAACAACATAAATATACATTAAGTTTTGGGAGAGGTAACTAATAACTATAACTAATTACTTTTTCAAAGTAACATGCCCAACACTGGTGACAATATCATTATCATGGGGAACAATATGATCCTTTATTCTGACTCAATAGATTGAAAAAGTATTGACCCCCGTTTCTTTTTTGTTGTCATTATTGTTTTCTTTTTTCAATTGTTTCAGAGGTTTTCTTTATACAGATTTTTAGTTTTTTAACTCAACACTGCTCAGTTGGTCACTAAGCTCATCAAAGTAGTTATCAACAAAGCGAAGCATCTGGATGACGGCGCTAAGCAGCAGGATGTCACAGTTCAAGTCCAGCTCCAACTCCTCGCTGTAGTTCTTCACTGGAACAATGCAGGACAGAGGTACACCCACCTTAGCACTGACCTCCAGCATCTGGATCACAGAGGGGTTCAAACTGGGATTCAGAAGCGGTTCATCAAATTTATAATCAGGACTGAGTTATTTCTGTATAAGTACAAGAATCCTCACTATTTCCTTGATGTATCCACTCCAGTAGATGTTTCTCAGATCCCTTTTCACCGAAGGACAAGCTTCATCTACTTTAGTGAGCAGCACCAGCTGAGGAATGCCTACAATCAAGAAAGATTAGATTATCCACAACATGCTGTAAACAATCTGAGTTTAAACTTCATTCAAAAATATTTCAGTTATAAATTGTACTGACCCAACAGGTTAGCCTTTCTGTGGATGGCTTCCAGCTTCTCCTCCAACTTTGTGGGCATAATGGAGACCTTGCAGGCATCGATGACATAGGCCACACAGTGGATCTTGTCTTTGATGCCTGGAGACTTGCGATAGCCATGAGCGTCATCATGCAGAGGAGCAGCAGGATTGAACTGTGTCGGTGTGAATGAAGAATATCTTTAATCTATTTCACGTTACACTAGTTGTCTCCACTAACTATAATCAATATCACACCTGGTAACGATCTGGCATATGTCCTTTAAGAATGCTGCTGATGTCCTCAATATCAATCCCCGCCCCTTTGCTGTCTTCCAGGCCCATGGTATCACACAGGATGATTGGCAGAGGTTTGCCTTCTCGTCCTGCTTTCAGAGAGTAGGTTCGAAACTGAAAAAGGTGAAATATTAGACATAGAAAAACCCAACTGGAAGGATTTAATTTAAATGAGATGCAAAAATCTGCATAAATAAGAAGCAGAGACACACCTGAGTGGTGAGACTGGTGGAGGAACAACCAGAGAAGGCCTGCCAGGTGACATGACCTTTGAATACAGAGTTGATGGAGTTGAAGAAGCTGGACTTTCCAGCTCCTACTTGTCCAATGAGTAAAACTCGAGCCTGGGACACAGAACTGACTGTGGGTTTGTAGCTTTGGATGCTCTCAATCAACTTCTTTTTATTCCTGTAGAGAAACATCAAATAACTGAGATGCTTAAGCCAATTAACATCAGCGACCTGCCCTGGCTCTCACTAAATGAACCATTGAGATAGTTCCCTCTCAAATTTACACGGATTTTAATTTTTACTGCATGTTTGTATACCAGAAAATGCAATGTCTGTCTAATTACACCACCCTCCAACTTTGCATTATTTGCATTTGTTATCCTTTTTTCCCCCCCTTTCCTCTTCAGACCGTAGAAGCTACACCTGGCCTGGTGTTCTATTTGGGGAGTGGCGGCCTAGTGGTTAGGGCGTAGAGCTTGGAATCTTGAGGTTCTGAGTTTTAATCCCACTCCCACAGACACACTGATCAATATTCTTATCCTCACACTGTTTCCCAGGTGCCACTCAATGGCAGCCCACTGCTCCCCAAGGGGATGGGTTAAATGCATAGAGTCAACTCTCCGTCTACTACTACTACTCTGTCAACTCTTACCCATTGCCCATGAGACTCTCGTATCTCAGTGTCTTTACACATTCTCACTCCATATCTGCAATTTTTCATGCTAAACAATGACAGACAATAAAACTCAACTCCATTCCACTTATTTATATATAAAAATACCATGGTAATAAAAATCCAGTCCACGTTTGCAACAAAACCTTAGTACTAACACGCAAGGACATGCAAGGTTTATTCCCAGTCCGTTTTTTTACCAGCTCACCTGACAGCAGGAGCTGAAGGACCTGTGCAAGATATTAAAAAGGACCAGGATTTCTGAGCGGTTATTATTACGAGGTATGTCATTTGATTTTTTTTTATCTTATCTTATCTGGACTAAGATAATTAGCTTTGTTAATTAATGAATATTTTAAGCAATCTAGTACTTGAGCAAATATTGATAAAATATACAACAGCTTAAATTATCAATGTGGAGACTGAGTGTAGGATCCACAAAAAAAGAAAAAGAACCATTGCACTTTATTTCTCAAAAGATCAGCTACCCAAGAAAAAACCAACCACATCCAGAGAGGATGTGCAGAACAGCTCAGTTATCCAGGATTCATAAAGGAGGGAATACAGGGATGTTTTTATTTTATTATTACTCATCTCATTCATTTATCCTTATTTTGGTCCATTGAATATGTTTATAAACTTAATTTCCATGACATTTTCCAAAATGAGACATCCAGAGAAGTGCTGTCTTGCATCATTGAAAGTTTCTATAGACTCTACATCCTCCTAGAAGGTCTGAATTGTTAAAAAAATAAATAAGATAATGATTTTTAATCCTTAGCCTTAGTTTACACGGGATTCAATTTCATTGGTTCCTGTATTATTGTAACGCAGTAATAACTTATCATCTTACCATTGGTTATTATACTTGAACTGCATAGAATAGTTTATAAAATTCTTGAAAAACTTTGTTTACAGTATATTTAAGATGCAATTATTTTTGCAGGGCCCATTCTTCTTTACTTCAGTTCTCTGAAAATCACATGAATATAGAAAAAGTTTATATTGTGTGAAAAATATTTCCACATAACTACAGATCACTAATTGTTCCTCAGTAACATTCACTGTTCTATCAAAAAAATCCACATTTTGCCACTTTCTTTCAGTTAAATCCTCTGAAAACCTACAACCTATAGCTGCACCTATTTACACATGACATTATTATAAAGGATGTTGGTTGCACTGCACATTATTAGATGTATCAGAGCAAAGGGGGTTTAGTATATATATCTATATACCACATATTTGTTTTGGAATTTTGTAATCAAATTTTGTAAAATCTAAACTAAACTAATTTTTACAGTAATGTAAAGATTATAAGTTGACACAATTTGGAAAAAGTTCAAGGGATGCAAATACTTCTGAACCTACCCAGATTCCCAGATGATAGTCCTCCATGGCTTCTCAAGTTCAGTAGATTCTGTTAAAAAAGAAAACTTGTTTGATAATTGAACTTTATCAACTATAGCTTTTATTTTATAATAACAAACCTTGTCTACAAGACAGTGTTGATATAATGAAGTCATATTTGAAATATATGATACTGTATGTGTATGCTAAGGAGAAGGATGAAAGTACATTTAACCTAGTATAGAAATGTGTAATTGATGTATTAATGATGATGTATCACAATTGTTGTTTTTAAATTTCAATGAAAATGAAAGGCTGATAACTCACCCTCCATTTGGTAAACTTCACATTCAGTCAGGTTCAGGTCATTTCCATGCATTTCTGCAGCATTGAAGTTGTACTGAGCTCCTGTCTTGCTGTATGTCACTGGTTTGCTTCCATCCACAAGAACTAGGGAATCCCCAAAATAAGGACCAGAGTTGCCAATCATTCTGACGGCATGATGAGCACTGATAACTGGATATTTTTTGAGTTTTCCACCAGTAAAACTAAAAAGAAAAGCCCGGCTATCACTAACATAATGTCCAGACTGACTAAAAGACTGACTGGTGTAGCCTCCAAACACATAACCAGAAGCGTTGTAGCCCACAGACACAGTGGGTGACCGATTGTCACATCGCTGGTGGAAGGCGGCACCAGTAAAGCCGTGGACGGTGGCCTTGTAGAGAAGATTCAGTTTGACACTTCCCAGCTGAGAGCAGATGGTTCTCTGCTGGTCCCTGGAGAGCTTTGACTTCAGAGTAGACATCTGAGCTGCTGATCTTAATGTAAAGCTGAAATTCAAGTTCAGACTGAAAAGAATAAAACAAAACAGATTTGTTAAAGATTTTTGAAAAATAGTTAAACGTCCTTTGAAATCTTTTTTTTTTTACAAAAAGTAATGTTATACATCAAAACCAATAGCTACCGTAGTCTGAAGTCTGATTAATCCTGGAATAATATGCTACAAACTAAGTATTTCAATAATTACCAGCACAGTAAAATGTTTTTCCAGGAACTTGAATTTCACATAGAACTATCCAAAACTAGTTTAGAAACAAAAATGTTAAATTTTGATCTAAACAATCCTGGTTGTATTGAAAGCTGTCCAGCAGACAGACAATGGAGGGCTCCTTAGGAGGAGGAACCAGTAAAGTTCATGCATAGCAACAGGACATGTGGGGGCAGGAAAAAGTGGTAGAAGACAAACAGGTTTAAACACACCCCTGTTAGAACTGTAAAATATGAGCTACAACAGTTTAATTCATAGTGATCACCAACTCCTGAACAACAGAAAACATCAGATACATATTAACTATGCAAATATGTCCAAGATAATCCTTTGTGAATCCTACCAGACTCTACATCTTGTGAATGTCCCCTTAACTCATCACTCTTTTTTTTTTAATTAACAACACACTTTCGTTTCTCTCAACTTTTCCATTTTATATTATCATGGTTTACTTCTGGCCTCTGTTAATTCACACATCTACCTAGATTATTTTCCATAACCCTTTTTTAAATGGTCTTTTGCCTTTTAAGAAACTAAATGAAAGAATTTGTTTTGCTGTAGCCTTAATAGCAATTGATTTAGATATCAATACTTGATATTGAATTTTACTTTTGGAACTGGAAGACAATACATGAATTACCTTACGAAGCTGAAGTTGGCTTCCGATTCTAGCTTCCGATTTAGGAAATTAATAAAGGGCGATTCCACTTAATTTTTCCCTGCCTTCAGCATCTTTAATCTACTCTAATTAAAAAACTACAACACCTAAACACATCAAACCTTGTCTAGACTATTCTGAATTAGTAGTAGAATAATAAAAACCAGGTCTGGGATTTGTGAATTGATAGTGTGCTGAAGTCTCTCTCTCTGTTTTTATTTTTTATTTTATTTTATTTTTTTTTTTATTTTTTTTAAATCAGCCAGTGCAGTGGCCTCAGCAGATGGCCGCCCACGCTGAGCATGGTTCTGCTGGAGGTTTCTTCCTATTAAAAGGGAGTTTTTCCTTTCCACTGTCGCTACAAGCATGCTTAGTGTGAGGGATTGCATTTGAGTCAATGAGTCAATGCAATCAACTGGTTTTTCTTAGAAAACTTTGAATCAATTTGACTGGATGATCTGGTTGAACGGTAAAGTGCCTTGAGATGACATGTGTTGTGAATTGGCGCTATATAAATTAACTGTATTGAATTGAATTGACAACAACTAAAATAAAGACTATTTTACTTAATCTGACACCTGAGCTGCTTTGATGAGCTTTGATTGCTCAGTGTGGAAAACAGCTGCTCCAGACTGTTCTCTAATTGGCTTGTGTGTCTCAAAGATGAAGGTGAACTCAAACATATAACAAAAACGTACTTTTTGGTTGATTGATTAAAGCTTTTTCAGTTGGGTCCTCACAAAGCAAAACAGACCCCAGCCCTATTTTATTTCACTACCTAAGAAATCAGTCATGTCAGTCACCCTGGCCTTTTTCCATGACTGACTCCTGGCCTGAAAAAATCTCCCAGTTCAGCCCTGTAATCAGGGATTCAGAAGAGTTGGAAAATAAAAATAAAAAGTGTGGGAGCAAATTAAGATTTTCTGACATAATTATTTTAAGTAGTTCAATACACAAAAAAATGCTGCTTCCTCAAATTAAGGGGTTAAGCAGTAATTATGAATCCCACCACACATTGTGAGAGTAAAGTAGCATGTGTATATA